CAGTAAAGATGAAGGGATAGGCCAGGCCCAGGGGCTCGCACCTGTAATCCCAGCATTTTGGGAGGCCAAGGCGGGTGGATAACTTGAGGTCAGGAGTTTGAGACCAGCCTAGCCAACATGGTAAAACCCTGTCTCTACTAAAACACAAAAAATTAGTTGGGTGTGGTAGTGCATGCCTGTAATCCTAGCTACTCAGGAGGCTGAAGCAGGAGAATCACTTGAACCTGGGAGGCGGAGATTGCAGTGTGCCGAGATCGCACCACTGCACTCTGTACTCCAGCCTTAGCAACAGAGCCAGAATCCATCTCAAAAAAAAAAGAAAAGAAAAGAAAAGAAAGAAGTATAAATGTCCCAGCTATTCTTAGGGAAACTTTCATACATGAGTACAAGGAGGTACTCACAAGGCTATTCATTAGAATACCATTAGTAATAGCAAAAAAGTAAAAACAATGATGGCCTTCATAATCTAAATAAACTTTCCCATCTAATTTTCCATCCTTTCCCTCTTGTTTCTGAAATTTTATTCATTCATTCATTCATTTGCTGTCTTAAGGAATATTACTATACACCTACTGTGACTAGACACCATGCTAGGTAGGCAGTCATGCTTAATTACTTACAGTTGTCCTACTAAACCATGGTCTCTTACCGGCTAAAGAGACTTTTCCTGTCCTTCCTCTGAGTTTTGACATAACTTTGTACATAACCCTGTTAAAGTACTTATCAGTACTCCATTATCCTTGTTATTCAATTATCTAGCTACAAAATAAGTGAAGGCAGTCCCAAATCACACATTCAATTAAATATCTGAACAAAGGGCAATTCTGGTTTTTTAGATTCCATCCAACAATTATCAAAAAAAAAAAAAAATGTATTTTCTAAGCTAATATTCAGTGCTAGGATACTACTTTCATGAGGATGTCATGAAAGTATTTGTTCATCATGGTATCCCCAGCACCTAGATCATTGCCTGACACGTAAGAGTCACTCAATAAATACTTGTTAAGACCAAAAAGCCCAAGCAATATTATCTGACAAATAATATTTAAAAGTGAAAACAGAATCATTAATTTATGTAGATGTTTTATCACTGAATAAGTAAAAGCTGTTTTCCTTCTTAAATAAAAAGTATTTTTTCTTTCATGATGAGTTACCCTCACATCCTCCCACCAAATACTTTTAGGACATGTCCCAGTGAATTTCTCTGCTATACGAGGTTATCAGAGACTCAACATCAATCATTTTCTTCTCTGTGTTACTAACACAGAAAAATTCCCACATTAACTATGAAAGGCTGGAATTGCAACATTACTGTTAGACATATAACATTTTATATCATAAAATACACTAAAAGTAAAAATAGATAAAAGTATGCCTACTACCTAAAAGATTGCCCTGTTAAAGACTGAGTAATGAAATCACACATACACACATTTCCATTTGTTAAAATGTTATTTGCATAGTTTGAGTTGAGAAAATGTTATGCACTAAAAGACATATAAATCTAGTATGTATCAGGCCTCATTTGTGCTATTTTCTATATTAGTATTCTACTGTATAGTATAGTTAAGAATATTTATATAAAAACAAGACATAAAGATTTAAGCTCTCTCAGTTATTAAATGCAAGAGCATCAAAATGGCTTACCAAATTATCACTCCAACTAATTCTACTTGAAGAAGAAAACAAGCTTTAGCCATTCAAGGTAGAAAAGCATTAATTACCACTTGGAAAATACTAGAAATTAACAATAGAAACAAATTTGTACTTCTAGACTTATGAAATGATTTTGATTAAAATAGGCTATTGCTTTCATTAATTTTATTTTTTAGGAAAAAATGCAGGTTAATTTCAAATAGTAGCTCCTTGTCCAAACAAATAATAGAACATTAATACTAGCTAGGACAATATTTGTTACAGTAATTAAAAGACAGAAATAATGAGTTCTCAGGAATGAATTAAGACTCTTGGATATAGGATGGCTTGAAAAACATGCTAGTAAAAACTGGAAAGTACTAGTGATTAAATCTGATGTCAACGCTAACAACTATTTGTAATTCTCAAACACAGAAAAAACCCCACAGTAAGGAGCTTCTCAAAGAAGCATATGAATAGACTGATATATTAAAAAACAATTCTCATTATGAATCATAAATCCAAAAAATACTTCATAGAAATCTGCAAATTTAGTTTAATATGGCTTTATGAAATATGCACAATGAAAATAACCAGTTATAGTAGCTTTAATTTAGAAGGGATCTTGCATGTACTGGTAATCTAAATCCCTCAACGACAAAAAAAAGACAAGGAAACTGAAACCCAGAGAAATTAGGTGTGTTGCTAAGCATCAATCAAAATGTTAAGTGTCAGTCCCAAGACTAGAACCCAGGTCTTAAGACTTTATAGTCTAGGGTTCTTTCTATTAGACTGCTATATATTCAGTTATAGTCAGCTAGAAAAAATGTAAGTATTCATCGACGGTATTCATGCTGGAATTTAAAAGGCTTTGCTCTTTTCCCTACTTATATGCCACCCAAATAGAGCTGTGTTTTCATTTGTTCATTCTTCCCATACCCCAGTCTCAGAGGTTTACAGCTCCCCTTTACATGCCCAATATTACTCTCTTCCGTTATCCTCTTGAATCCATCCTTCCTCATCTCTCAAGAATCTTGCTCCATCAATAATTGCCATCTCTTTTCTATTTTCAGACTTTCTGTAGGACAGCTCACGTGGCAGCTGGCTTCCTTTATAGCAAGCAAGAGAGAGTGCCCAAGATAGAAGTCCCAGTCTTTTGTAACCTAATCTTAGAAGTGACATCCCATCATTTTTGCTAAATTTTATTCATTAGAAGCAAGTCACTGAGTCCAGATCTCACTCAATGGAAGAGAGTTATACAAGGGAGTGAATACTAGAATTATAAGAAGCCATCTTAGAAGCTGCCTGCCACAGCTTCTAAAGAAGAAATGCGTAAGGGAGGTTTGCTAACCAGATACTAAGACTTCTTACGAAGCAAGCGATTAAGCGATGTGGTATTGGCAAAAAGACAGATAAAATGACTAATGGAATATAATAGAGAACCCAGAAACAAATTAATGTATGTTTGGAACTTTGGAAAATGGCAGAGGTGATATGTCAGATAGTGAGGAAAGGAGGGCCTATTCAGTAAATAGGGGTAGAAAAAGTGGTTATCCACATGGCAATGGTATCCCTAACCTCCTCTCACACCATTAAAAACAACAAGAACAACAGAACTCTTAGTGAAAATATAGGTGAATATTTTTTAGACCATTAGATAGAAAATATTTCTTAAACTAGACACAAAGACGTTGATTATAAAAGATGGATAAATATGATTATATTCAAATTAAGAACGTTATTCATTGAATGACATCTTAAGATAGTGAAAGACAGATTTAAAAACTGGAAAACACAATCAAAAAACTATTAGTGTCAAGAATATATAAAGAATTCATACAAGTCAATGAGAAAACGAAAAACAACCCAACAGGCAAAAGATATGAACAGATATTTCTTATAAATAATATATATATAAAGAAATATTCAGTATTATGAGTGATAAAAGAAATGTAAATTAAGACCACAGTGAGAATAATCCATTCCGTTGGCAAAAATTTAAAAGTCTGACAATACTAAATGTCAGAGACAATACACCTCCAAAGGATCTTATTTACATTGCAGGTAAAAAGTAAATTGAGGCAACCACTTTGAAAATAGTTTGAAATTATCTCCTAAAGTTAAACATTAGCAACACTCCATCATTGAGGGAGTGGATGTGAAAATGGGGGTATAACCACACAATGGAATATTATGTGGCAGCCCAAAAAATGCACAAGAATGAATGAATTTTAGCAAAATATTAAGTGTATAAGGTCAGCCTTAAAAGATAAGGTTTTTAAATTAAAGTTAAAAACATCTAAAATTTAAAACTTCCCAATGAACATGGAATTCAGAATGACAGTTACCTCAGGTCAGTGAAAGCACGTTAAGGAAGGAACTTATAAGATTAGATGTTCGTTATTGTCCAAAATCTAGTTTTGCTCTGGGTGATGGTTACAGAGATACTTACTACACTATGAAAAATAACTAAGTAAATAAATAAACACCAAGCATGAACTAATAATGAGAGTATGTCATGAAACAAAGACATGTTTAATCCAATGCTATGTACCTAAGTTTTTTAAAAAAAGGTCCCACAAGCTACATGAAGCTTTGATTTCAACTTGCATGTTAATCATGCTCTTCACCAACTCCTATATCAAGTATGATTTGTATGATATGGTACATCTTATAATATCTGTTATTTCAAACGTAATGGTCTTACTTCCCTACCAAGAATATAAATATTTCTACCATACATACTGTCTCTGAAAAGTACTGACTATAGAGTAAGTGCTAAATACTTGTTAAATGCTTGATATACTTTGTATATTTGTTCCTGCCCAAATCCCATATTGAACTGTAATCCCCAGTGTTGGAGGTGGGGCCTGGTGGGAGATGTTTGGGTTATAGGGGTAAATCCCTCATGGCTAGGTGCTGTCTTCAGGACAATGAGTTCTCGTGAGATCTGGTCATTTAAAAGTGTGTGGAACCTCCCCCTCAACACTCTCTCTCTCTCACTCCTGCTTTTGCCATATGATGTGCTTGCTCTTGCTTCATGAACTTCTTCCATGATTATAAGCTTCCTGAGGCCTCCCTAGAAGCCGAGTAGATGCCAGCACCATGCTTACTGTAATGCCTGCAGAACTATGAGCCACTTAAACCTCTTTTTTTTTAAAGAAATTACTCAGTCTCAGGTATTTCTTTATAGCAATGCAAGAATGGCTGCATATAACACTCATATTTAACTTATTCCTCAAATAGCCAAGAGTAAAGCTATGAAACCTGCATCCTAAATTTCTTTAAAAATATTATATCACCACATTTAATGTTTCCTACTGCTTTACTTGGGAAAGGAACTTAGACCAAAATCACCTTCTCACCTGTTATGGCTGAGGGAAGCAGTGATGGGGGTAGGCACCACAGTCTGTAACCCCTCCCCTTCTATCTCAGTACCAACAAGGCAGATGAGCTGGAGTTCCGGTAATCCTACACAGTTTACTTCATGCCAGCTTTTGCCTGAAAGAACATCATTGAATGGACAATAATGTTTATTAAATACAAAAGATAAAAACTCCAAACTTCTACCTAATACTCAGCTGAGTAAATATCACTCATAACACTACCTCCTATCTTTGCTTTTCTAATAGCTTCTGTTACTCAGTAATTCCCAATGTAAATAAATAAATTGCAAAATTAACAGCAAATGCATAAAAGATTGCTTATTATAATGTTAAGAATGCTATATCCCAATCCAACCCCCAAATCCCTACCACAGTCCCAATAACAAAACAATATAAACAACTTACTTTCCATGAGGTCCAGGTAAACCAAGAATGCTATATAAACTTGAGTGGCATCTCCTATATCTAATTCCATCATTTCTAAATACTGAAAATAAAATATAATTGTCAAATTGAGAAGGAAAAATTATTTAATATTTTCTTTCAATCAACAAGTAGTCATTAAGTATATATAATCTATAAAATTCTTCTAGGTATAGTGGAAGTTAAAATGCAATATAAGGTCTTAGAGATCGCTGTCTCTAAAGAACTTGCGACTGTTAAATACATGCACACTTAAAATTGTTAGGCAAATAACAATATATGACTGTAAGTGATTAAAAACCGGTAAACGGAATAAAAAACATGACACAGCAGGTCAGAAGAGCTCTACTCAGAGGGATTGGTGAAAGATTTATAGCAGAGGTGGGATGGGATACAAGTTGAGCACTGAAGAACATTATGATTTAAGTAAATGGAGAAGTAGAGTAATAGGGCAGGTAATCACACAAAGGTGGGATTAAGCCACATACATTCAAGGGCCTGTAAAGAAACCTATCTGCCAGCAATAGAGAAACCTTTTTAATAAAATTTGTGTCGGGACATGTTGGTGGGTACTGTGTACCTCCCTAGCCTCTTATTTGCATATGGAGAGAATCTGCTAGAGTATCAGTCCTAACCTCTCTACCCACTCTTTCTCACTTTAAGAGTAGGGAATTATTTCATCATTAGATTTTTTAAAAGGGATTGACAAGGAACTGGAGAAAGCTGCTTCTTTCAGACTACTGGTCAGCATAAGGGGAACACTTTCCAGGGGCCTACACCTGCAGGAGAATTCTGAGGCTGCCCAGCTATGCCAGTGACTAGGTGGATATGCAGGGCTAATGCTGAGTTGAATTATTAGCAGACCTGCATGGGGACAGGCCTAAAGTCACATTCTCCCATCAGCTTCCGTGTAACTGGAGGATACAGTTACAGGAGGATAAGGGTTATTAGTTGTCTACTTCAAACATGTTTTGAAAATAACACCCAAAACAATTTTGAGCCAGGTTACAAGGCCTTGGTGGTCAAGCTATACGTGTGATTTTATCAGTATGGAAACACTGAGGATTTCTAAGCAGGAGAATAATAAAATAAAAGTGTGTTAGAGGATAATAAGTCTGATACCATTTTACTGGATGAACCTACATAATTTTCAAATTAACAGAAAGGTGAAATTGGAAAAACAAACAGCCCCTATTGCTTTATTACTTCTTTTCTTTTTCTTCTAAAAATTAATCTGATCCTTCAAGAAGAGAAATCAAAAGGGGAGATTTGATGGTCAGGGTGCATACAGCCATTAACTTGAAAAAGAAAACAATCTACAAGTATATAAACCGAATAACAACACCAAATCTAGATAAGGTTTTAAAAAGTTGTTACTGGTGTTTCATTTATTAAGTACTTATATAGTGCTCTCTGTATGTTGAATGTCTTACAAATATTAATTAATTTAATCCTGTAACAACCCTATAAGTAAGTATGGACTATTAATATCCCCATTTTTCAGGTGAGGAAACTAAGGCATAATGAGATCAAGCAATTTGTGTCAAATTACAAGGTTGATACGTGACAGAATCAGGATTTAAACTGAGTCTGATTTTGAGTTCACGCTCCTAACCAATATGCTGCCTCTGCATGTTATTGTTTCCCTAAAAGGGCACTAAATAATATTTCCATGCTATTGTTTCTTTTTCTCACCTTTTGGGAGGATGAAGGGGACAGAGTAGGAAGATAAAATTAAGCAAGAGAAGCTGAAAAAGGTTAACTCTTCAAACTTATACCTTTAAATTTTTTCTTGACTGCTTTTAGATGATTACGAATTATTGCTCTCTAGCAGAAGAGCGCAATTCTGTTAAAGTACCGTACAGACCAGTTTTTGAGATTCTTACAAAACCCACATCTCCATTCACTGCCTGTTCACTGCTTGGAACCTTACTGGTACAAGGCAGTAATGTCTCAAGCAGAAGCAAGCAAGGGACTATCCTTATCTCGCTTGCTGCTAATGTAGAAAAAGACACGCAAAATGTGAGTAGCTCTGCATTGAGCAAGAACCTATTCAAACTTTCGAAGAAATCTGAAATACTAAGAATCTGCACCTTCAAAATAAAGATGCACTCTGGGCCCAAGGCTAAGTGTAAACGTGACTGTGCCTAAATCTTTATCATTATGGACCCGCAGACCTTACCCATTGCCCACAAATTGTCTTGCATGGTTACTGTGAGGATTAAATAAATTTATCCCCCAAAGGGGATTTACCTAGACAGCAAAACCTGTGGAGCTCTTATTAGGGATCTCCGGCTTGAGAGGGGCGGAGTTACTGTCTGGCTCTCCGTTCCAGAATGGCTTTGGCTGGGGGGTTGGGAAAGTGTCGGGGGATAGTGCAACTTGTTTAAACAAAACCGATGCTGCCTGAGGCTGGCAGTTGTGCACACCGGTCCCCCTCGGTAAGGGGGGCGCGCGTCCTCAGCTCTCCCGCTGAGGGAGAAAGAAAGACAGCTGCCTGGGAGTTCTCCCCGGGTTAGGGGCCTGGACGGCGCCCTGCTCCTCTCGCGCCTCCTGACCTTAGGGTGGGTGCCCATCCAGGCGTCCTCGGGGGCCCACGAGGGAGCTCCGCCGCCGTCGCCAAAGCCGCGAACGCCGCCCGGACCCAGGCCGCTGCAGCCGGGGATCGGCTCGGAATCGCCGCGCTCCTCCATGCCGGCCGGTGCGGCGCTCCCGTGGTGCACCACTACCCGCGCCCGGCCAGAAGCAGCGGCGCGCGCGCCTGTGGGTTCCGCTTCCCCGAGGCTCGCAGCGGCCGTGCGAGAGGGCTCAGAAACTGGGAGGAAAGTTGCATCAGCCCCTCCTTCTGACCGAGGTAGCTAGAACCTGCGCGAACGCTCTCTAGTTTCGCACTGCGTTTATTCAAATCTGAACAAATTCTAGCGTGAAAAATATTAAAGAGTAGCCTGCGCCCAGAAGCTCTTAATCCTCTTTAAGTCAGTGCTGCCGATGACTCTCTGAGAAAGTTGGGGGATACATACGTCCTCTTTGCCTTCAGCAGTGGGGTCCTGGTTTCTGATTGCTGGAAACGGGAAAAGCCTAACTCAGTGCCCTGACATAGAACTTTAAAGTAGAACCATAGTTTCAGGGTGGACCCACGTTTCAGGATTAGAGGAAACACGAGTTGCTGAATGAGTGTTCAGAAAGGTAGGATACAAACTAGCATAAGCATGTGATCTGGAAGCCAAGGATGAGGAGTTTCAGACAGGCAGAGTAGCACATTTTAAGTGTTTTTAAATTTACTGTGAGTGAAATGGGAAGCTATTGGAGGCTCCTGTCATATTTTCATAGGATCACTCAGACTGATATGTTAAGGATAGACTGGAGGGAGCAAGGACACAAACAGGGACTGGTTAGGAGGCTATCACATTGAACAGGACAAGGGTTACTCAAAATCCAAAGTCCCAGGCAGGACATAACTTCTGTTTTCAACCATGATAGACTAAAACCCTACTGGACCTTCCCCCAGCAGAAAACAACTTGGACACAATGCAAAAAGCTGAATATACTAGAATGTGAACAGTGGACTGGTAGGAAGGGCAAGCTTGCTTGAAGATGAGGAATTCCACTTCAACACAATACAAAAAGCTGAATATACTGGAATGTGAACAGTAGACTGGTAGGAAGGGCAAGCTTACTTGAAGATCAGGAACTCCACAGGAAAATTCCTTTCTCTTTGGCATTTAGCTTGTGGCAAAGTGCAGTCCAGAAGTCAGGCTCAGCAGTACCAAGTGTGCATGTATAAAACTTGTCAGTTATTCTTATCTGGAGAAGCAGAAAAGTGAAGACAGAAAATTTTGAATTCTGAAGAGATTAAGAAATCCCAAGGAAGGAGTCAGAGAGTGGATCCCCAAACTGTCAACCCACATCTCTGAGAGATCCTGAACCACCCAAAACAGAATCACAGCAGCTCAGTTAAAAACAAAAGATCTGAGCTGAGACCAGAGTTATCTCCAAAAGGGAGAGAGTTTTCAGTTAAAATCTAGCCAGGAAAATTACCTACTAATACAAAGGAAATAACACCCATCAGAGAAGAATAATAGAATCCAGACTCTCTCCTTAACACTCATAAAGTCCATAATACTATCCAAAACTTTCTGACGTATGAAATTCAAGGAAATGGATTGCATACTCTAGAGATCGACCCTGAGACGAATCAGATGTTGAAACTGACAGATAAGGATTTTAATGTGGCTATTATAACTATCCTCAATGAAGTAAAACATGTTTTCAATGAATGAAAATCTCAGGAGACAAACAGAAAATCTCAGCAAAGAAAAAGAAAAAAAGATTTTTAAAACGAAACAAATTCTGAAAATTGAAAATTATAATTTTAGAAATAAAAAATTCACTGAGTGAATTTAACAGCCAAAAAGAAATTACGGAAGAAAAAGTAGGGAACTTGAAGATAGAGCAATAGAAATTATTAAAAGTAAACAACAAAGGGAAAAATTATCTTTAAAAAGTGAGTAGACACACAGAGATTTGCTGCACGTCAGACAATCCAACATGCATGTAAATAACAGAAGTAGAAGAAAAAAAGGACAAAAAATTTTTGAAGAAAGATTTCCCTAAATTTGATGAAAAACATTTACCAATACAAAATGCTAAATATACAGCAACTAAAATAAACACAAAGAAGTCTACATTATAATAAAACGATTGAAAGTCAAAAAGATAAAGAGAAAAGCTTGAATGCATCAAAAGAAATAACACATCATATACAGGGAAAAGAAGGGCATCTATTATTGAATGAAATATAAAGCCACACATGAAGATTCATATGTTGCCCTCAAATATATTACATTTGAATGAGCGTTTGCCACCACAAAGCAGCTACTAAGCCCAAAAGAAGAAAATGGCACTGAAATTAATAGGGTCATTGAAGCACGAAACAATGACACTAATTCAAGTGATTGGAAGTGAATAAATTTCTCTGACTCCTAAAGATCCAAATCAATTCATATGATGGCGTTTTTTAAAACCTTAAGAGTATTTTGTTGCTAAACTGAGTAGAGGGAAAATTTTGTAAATCAGTAAGGATATCCAATGTGATTAGGGACTGTATGAACCAGCCTCAAACATCTTCAGGGGAAGAATTTCAGCTTATGTTCAAGAAAAAATAATTGGGGGTATGGAAAACTAGAAGGATGAAGAAACCACAAATCAAAAAAGCAACAGATAAATGCCATCCTTTGGCAAATAGATTAAATACTGTTGCTTAGAAAAAGCATGGTACATTCAAGCATGAATATTACGTGCTTTTCAAAAGAGTTGAAGAATGAAAAGGGAGTGTCTCTTAGCTTCCCTGTTAGTGCAAACTTTTAAATAGGTCTTGGTGATTGGGAATGGCTAAGAATGAGCACAAAGGATTTGGGAACACTTAGACAACCTAGTATTTAAAGTACAGAATCAAAATGGCTATTGTGTCAATCTAGAGTGAAATCCACTAGAGAACAGAGGAGAGTTTCAGTGTCTGGTAGCCTGGAGGATTTCTCCTTTTGTAAATGCTTCAATAGTTCACTCTATTAGAGAACCAAAGTAGTGGGGGGAAAAAAAAAAAGCTAGATAAGAAACTAGATAAGAAACAACGAATGAAATCCCCTCGAGTATATTGGATTTAATCAAATTCATTGTAATCTGGCACTTGCTGAACTCATTTCCCAATGATATCCTGATTCAGATCATTTTATTCCTACAAAAATCTGTAATGTCTAGCCAGAGACATATTAATTCAGTAAGAGTCTCAAGAGGAAATGCGAACACTAAATTGTGATGTGAATCTCTAGTGTGGAAAGAAAATTTAAAAAAAGAAGAAGAAAAGCTTTTACACAGTGTTGTGTGAGACCGTGATTCCAAGCTGAAAAATGTAACCTAGCATTCTGGATCAGCTTTTCATTCACTGGTTGTAAGGAGGTTCATATGTATCTTGTTGCTTTTTTTGTACACAAAACACACAATTTCCCATTCTCTGTGTTTCAAGAACAGAGAAAGATTCAAGAGAATGATTCAATATTGTAAAGATGGCAATTTCCTCCAAAGTTATTTACAGATTCTAGCAATTCAAATTAAAATCCCAGTAAGGATTTTCTTAATACCTGATAAGCTGAAATGTGGGCATAAAGGGCTGAAAATAACCAAGACCCTTTTTGTGAACAAAAGGAAGGAAACTTTTGAAGTTAAAGTTCTGAAATATAAACATCTTATAAAGATAAGGTTTTAAGCCAAATTTAAATTCTTACAAAGATCTCTAATTACAAGTATGTGATATTGTCACACGGATAGGTAAAACCAATGAAACAAAATAGGGAGCCAGGCAGCAGACCCATACAAATGTGGACAGAAGTAACACTGCAGATGCAGGAAGGGAAGGAGAGAAAGGATGATTGACTACATGATGTAGGCAAACACTTTTAAATCTCTAGGAGAAAATATAAAAAGAACATTTTATGACCCCAAGATAGAGAGTGATTTCTTAAACAAGACACAAAAAGCACAAACCATATGGAAAAAATTTTGGTAAATTTAACTGTATCTCAGTTAAGAATTTCCAACCCTAAGAAAATGGAGGGAAAATGACATCTGTAACACATCATTGAAAGAAAAGATGCCCAGAATATATACAGAACTCCTAAAAATCAATTAGGAAACAAAACAAAACACTCCTTAGGTTAAAAAATGAGAATAAACAGAAGAAAAGAGACAAAAAGTCAGCAAACATAACTTGATGTTCAGCCACAATGATTGAGTGAGAAAATGCAAATTAAGGTAAGAAGATACCATAATACACCTATCAGATTAGCAACAAAAACCAAGAGTTGGCGGAAAAGTAGACCAAAGGAAAGATGCACAAATCTATGATCCAACAATTCTAGTCCCAGGTATATATTCTAGAGCAATATTTTTAAATGAAGTGCCAGGACCTGTTAGTGGTTGTGAAATAAATTGAGTGGGTTGAGTACAGTATTTAAAAAGGAATTATTTAAAACATACATAGATTTCCAATCAACAACTTGAATGAATCTCATAAAAACCTAATGTATAGTCAAAATGTTCGTTATAGAAGAGTATATACGATATTTGATTTGTAAAAAATTCATATATAGCAGCTTTATTCATAATAGCTCAGAAGTGGAAACAACCCAAATGTCCCTCAACTGATAGAATATATAAAGTGGTATGTCCATACAGTGGAATATTATTCAGCATTAAAAAGGAATAAAGTACTCATGCTACATCAATAGACCTTGAAAACATAGTAAGTGAAAGAAGCCAATCACAAGGGATCACATGTTGTAGAATTCCATTTATGTGTAATGTCTAAAATAGGCAAATCTATAGAGACAGAAATTAGATTAGTGAGAGAGTAGGGTGAGCTGGGTGACATAAGGATTGATCACTAATGAGTATTGGTTTCTTTTTGTGGTGATAAAAATGTACTAAAATTGATTGTGATCCTGTTGCATAACTATGAATATACTAAAAACCTTTGCAATGTATACTTTAAATAGGTGAATTGTATGGTATTTGAAGAAAAATTCAAATGCAGCAAAACTAACACACATTTAAGAGATGTACCAGAGTTCTCCAGAGAACAGAAACAAAAAGAGAGAAAGATATTAATTTTAAGGAATTGGCTCATGTGATTGTGCAGGTTTGAAAACCTGAAATCTGTGGAAGGCAGGCTGGCAGGTCGGAGACCCAGGAAAAATCTTATGTTGCAGTCTTGAGTCCAAGGACAATCCGGAGTCAG